CCTCTCCAGCATTTGTTGCTCGCTGTTCTGTTAAATACTTGAGCGCCACAAAAAGATAAAGGTAAACAATTCAGTTGAAAAATGGGCACAGGATATGACCGGATACTTCACCAAAGAAGACATTCAGATGGCAAACAAACACATGAAAAGATGTTCAAAACCCCTAGGTCTAAGAGAGATGCAAATCAAAACAACTATGAGATATCATCTCACCCCAGTAAGAATAGAATTGTGATCTTTTAAATCCTTGACTTAATGACAGTGTGTTTGCATTTCCTTTTCTTTGTTTGGTTTTCCTTTGTTGTGGTGGTGGTAATGGTGTACCTTCGGGTTGGAACCAACCTATAGCCAATGCTCCAGTGGGTTTTCAGAGGCTGTAATTGCATGGGAGGAGATTGTGCATCATTCTTTAGTGGAGCAGTTGGCAGATTGGAACTGCAGGCCTTTGGGATTGCAGTGCAGATTCTTACCACTAGGCCACCAGTGCTCCCTTGCTTCCTTTAGTGACCAAATTATTTTCTGCTTTGATTTTTTTTGTTGTTGTTGATACTGTTTTCAATAATGAGAATTATGAACTCAAGTAAAAGAAAATTGGAATAACATGAATTTTGCTATAATTATGTGGGATACATACACCTCAAGTGGATTCTGATGTTAATATTGGTGGAATGAGGGTTTTTCCCTTCAGATTTACACAGGCTTTTAGGTCCCCACCCAAGTAGTAGCACATACTACAGCTGGTAGCTTCTCAGGAAAGAGGTTGAAAATGGTGGACAGCAATAGGTCACACAAGATTAAGTTTCATGGTAGTGCTTTGTATATGAAGAAATAACCTTAGAAAAAGTAAAATGTCATGTAACAAGTAGTTAGCAGGAACTTGAACCCACATGTTCCTGAGTCCAGTCCCTATGTGGTTTCCTTGAGCTGTGGTTGAAATATGGTACTGTTCCTAAATAGCTTTGCCGCATAGTAGTACTGTGGCAGTATTTTTGTCTTGGATTCTAGAAGTAAAACAAGGGAAAGGAGAGAGAGAGAGAGAGAGTGCGCGAGTGTGTGTGTGTGTGTGTGTGTGTGTGTGTGTGTGTGTGTCTGTGTATGCATACATACACACACCTGTGTAAACCTGAAGGGAAAAAATTTCATTCTACCAGTATTAACATTGGAATCCACTTGAGGTATATGTAGTCTACATAATTGTGGCAAAATTCATATTACGTCAGTTTTCTTTTACTTGATTTCATAATAATTTTCATTATTGAAAACACTTGGTATCAACAGCAAAAAAATTCAAAGAGAGATCTTTTCTAGGAACTCTGCTGGCACAGTGTGTAAGCACTTTGTGTACTGACAGTGTAATGGTTCGTATGCACCCAAGCAGCTCTTCAGGTGAAAGGCCTGTCCATTAAAGTTTACAGTATAGAAGCCCCGATAGGGAAGTTCTATTCTATGACATCTCAATGAATAAAAATTGAATCAACATCAGCTAATAAAAATGTTTTTATTTTAATATTATTTTGAGTGATGTGTTCTAACATCTGCTATTCAACATAAAGTGAATTATCTTTTCTTTCTGCAGATTGAAGACAAATGCATGAAGACTGTAGGCACAGTTACTCTGACAGGCTCAGCACAGGGCTCAGAAGCCCTGCATTTACCTCAAGACGCCTTTGGTAAAAAATTTGAGACAATGGACCTTGAAAATGATGGATCTACATCTGAGAGCATTTTTGATTTGGATTATGCTTCATGGAAAATTCGCTTAACATTAGTGGTAGCTGGTTTTTTCTTTTACCTGGGTGTCTTTGTTGTCTGCCATCAGCTGTCTTCTTCTTTGAATTCCACGTATCGCTCTTTAGTGGCCAAAGAGAAGGTCTTCTGGAATCTTGCAGCCACCCGTGCTGTCTTTGGGGTTCAGAGTACTCTCGCTGGTCTGTGGGCTCTGCTGGTCGACCCTGTTCTTCATGCTGATAAAGCTTGTGGCCAGCAGAACTGGTGCTGGTTCAACGTCGCAACAGCCACAGGATTCTTTTTCTTTGAAAATGTTGCAGTTCACCTGTCCAACTTGTTTTTCCGGACATTTGATTTGTTTCTAGTTGTCCACCATCTCTTTGCTTTTCTTGGATTTCTTGGTTCGGTGGTCAATCTCAAAGCTGGCCACTATCTAGCTATGACCACGTTGCTCTTGGAGATGAGCACTCCTTTTACCTGCATTTCCTGGATGCTCTTAAAAGTAAGTATTCCTTATAAAATACATGAGTCATTTACTCTATCTACAGGTGTTAGCAGAAGTTGTATTCATGTCAGCATGAATGGTTAAAAGTACATGGTAGACCAGGCTATAAATTCATCAGCAGACTAAAATACAGCATATAAATTCATTGATGAGTACATTTTGCTTATATTCAATTTATCTATTTGAAGGACATCTTTCAGACTTCTTGCTTGATTAAAAAAAGAAAACTCAGAGAATCTTACTATTTAAGCCCTAGAAAACATGACCTTTCACTCTTTTCGAATGCTTTTAAAAATCTCAAGTAATATATAGGTATACACTTAAAAAACTGTTTCTTATTAAGCCTGTGTTACTTGTGATTTGAAAATGTTGGCAACCTAGTATAATTTCTCCAGCATGTTTAGTAATATTTAAATACTTTGTGCTTTGGAAGTGTTTTTTCAGCATGTGCCTTGAGTCTCATTCGATGTCAGAATGCTATATTAAGCTCTTTAAAGTTATTTTTCATAGTATACTTTGTTTTTCCATTTTCTATAACACATTCTTTTTTTCACAGGGCACTTTATATCAAACTTGAAATACTACCTTTTTGTTAGTTTTTAATGCAGTCACCGCATAGTAGTCATATTGTTGAGTGCTTCTCTTGTATAGAACATCAGGGTAAGCTTTGAGAGAAAGCAAATGAGAAGTATGACATATTCCTGCCCACTGCATTAAATATGATCGTCAATATAAATGGTGCAGATTTTTCATATACAATATATATTGACTAAATTCAAATAAACATTTGTGTATTTTTTTTTCTATTTTACACCAAGGTTTATTAGGATAAATGTACAAAATATAGGGTAGCTTGAATTTGTAAAAATGTCAATATTTGCTCTTGGGTATGATTTAATTACTTTACTACCAGTATTATGTAGCCCACATAGATCCCAAGATGTACTGAGAACTTATCAGTGTAGGGAGCATTGGTGTGGTGGCTTAGTGATGAGGAATTGTGCTGCCAGTGCAAAGGTATGTGGTTCGAATCCCGTAGCTGCTCTGCAGGAGATAGACTGGCAGTCTTCCCCTGTTCAATTGACTGCCTCTGAAAACTTGCTGGAAGATCAGCTATGGGTTGGTTCTGACTTGAGAGTACTGAATAACTACCACCACACATAGGGAACAGCAGACAGAAGAATAAGGTAGATGCAGGTCAACCTCAGAAAACTTCCATCTTCCTACATGTGGAATGATACAGAGGGGTTGCATGTTTGTTGCTAATATTGCTGTTAGATGCTCTGAAGTTGACCACATCTCATGGTGAGTCTGTGAAGAACAAATCGAAACCTTGCCCTGCATCATCACAGTTTCTCATATGCTCAAGCCCAATTGTTCAAGTCCATGTTGCATCTCTCTAGTTGAGGGTACATTTGTGTATTTTTACTGTACCATTATAAATGGTACAGAGTATTCATAAACAACAAACATTTATCATGTACTGCAAACTCTCTTAGGACCTGCAAAGTAAAAAACAACTTTGCTTTCCCCCTCGTTTCCCCATTGTAGTACCAGAATGTAACATCTGAGTGTCTTTCTGAGCTCTATGCATAGTGCACAGTGGGGTCTCTTGGAGATGGTGTGCCCTATAGAAGAATAAGGTTAAGCTTTGTATGAATAACTGTGTATATAAAGGTTAATTTAACAAAAATCAGACACTGAATTTTATCTCTGTAAAGTCTTGTTATAGCATGATCATGAAAAAGAAATGATATTGGCAGCAGGTTAGACTGAGAGCCTAGTGAGATCATCATGAATGTGTGATTTAGAGGGTGGTGTGAGTTTCTTGGGGGCAGGAATGATTTGAGTATTGGGAACTCTGTGGGATAATCCATAAGGAGTTGCCCTCCTAACTCAAAGGTGGCAGTTCAAATCCACAAGCAGCTTTGTGGGAGAAAGATGGACAGTCTCCTAACTATGATGTCCAGCCTCTGAAAACCACCTAGAGGGTTAGATATGAGTTGATTCTGACTCAGTGACAATGAGGATGAGCACACAAGCACAACATGTGATTAGAAGCCGGTAATGGCATTAAATGGTCAGTCACTTCATTGACCCAGCTTCCTTTGAGGTCCTATGCTGAATAAAATGAGTGTTGTATGAAGCTACTGATATATGCATGGAATCATTTTAGATAAGATGGCTGTGCTGTAACCTGAACCTCTGAATTATCCTGTGCACATCTTGCACTGTAATGCAGGTCACACAGCATTCTAGTTTTCTCTTTGTGGGTGTGCTCATCACAGACGTGGAACCTTTTTGAAGACTTGAGGACAAGGCCTATGGCTATTCCTTTGTTAGCCTGGCACCAGGGAGCTCTCATTACCTGGTGGTAAACTGTGCTGCAGTCCTGAAGGCACGTGGTTCAAATCTACCTATTGCTGTATGGGAGAAAGATAGGCAGTCTCCTCCCATGTGATTAAACTGCCTTTGAAAATATATAGCAGAGTCAGCTGTGGGTTAGTTCTGACTTGATGGCTCACAACCACAACAAACACAGCACCTAAGCATCCTTGCAGTCATGTATGCAATGAAGGCATACATACAGAAACAAATTTGATGCAGCACTAAATTACATATGAGACCAGGGAGCTCTGTTGCCTTAGTGGTAAGGAATTACACTGCCAACCCAGAGGCATGTAGTTTGAATCCACCAGCTGCTCTGGAAGAAAGATGGGAGGGACATCTTGCAAGTTAATTGCCTCTGAGAACCCACTGGAGGATTAGCTGTGATTCAATTCCAACTTGATGGTACAATATCAACGACAAAGAAATAGGAGACCGTCCTATTTCATGACTTGAAACTAAAACTAAGAAAATAGACATGTTTTGTGAAAATAGATTATTATCTGCAAGTTTTATTATGTTGTGCAAGAAGTTACTTTCTTTTAAATTGAAGGAGAATCAGCAATCTTTCCTTGCTTGCTCTCTTTTGCAACTCAAGAGTAATCAGTATAGAGCATTTCTTGGTGAATTTTTCTGGACTTTCATCTGTGCAACTTTCAGAACCAGATATTCTTGTTGGACAAGTAGAGTCCAGTAGAAGTAAACAAAAGCCAAAAAGGTGTTACTTGTAGATCTTATCCTAGGAGATACAGTGATGAGAGTGATTCTTACTGGAGCAAAAGTGGCTTCAGGTTATGTGATTATCAGTAGAATTAGAGACCTTATTTTGCTTTTCCCCCACATTGTTAAGATAACTCTTTGTACAGAATCTTAAGTAACAACTTCTCATCCCAGTAATTAGATTAACTTTCTAAAGCCAGCAGTGCTACAAACTAACCTTCATCAAACAAATAAAAAATAACTAATGTAGCTTGTTGTTGTTGTTGTTATATGCCATGGAGTCCCTTACCCCTATGTACAAGAACCCTAAATGCTGTTATATCCTGTGCGAACCTCGCCATCTCAAACACACGCATTGCCACCAGTCCACTCATAGAATTGATCCATCTCATCGAGGGTCTTCGTCTCCTGCACCTTCCCTTCACTTTCCCCAACATGATGTCCCTCTCCAAAGACCAGTACCTCCTTGCAACATATCCAAAGTATGTCAGACAAAGCTTCAGAATCCTTGGCTCCAAGGAGCATTCCAGCTTCACCCTCTCCAGGACAAACCTGTTTGTTCTCCTAGCAGTTCAAAGACATCAGTTCTCTTTCTATCATCCCTAGTCACTGTCCAACTCTCCAATGCATAGCACATAATTGCAAAGACTATAGCCCAGATAGTCTCCAGCCTGATGTCATTGCTCTTCAGTACTCTTGAGAGGTCCCTCACAGCTGACTTTCCCAATGCAATTCATCTCCTGATTTCCTGGCTGCTGTTACCAAGAGGGTTGACTGTGGAACCAAGTAAACTAAAACTGTTAGCTATCTCAATCTCTTCACCATCCATACTGATGCTGCCTATTGGCCCAGTGGTGAGAATCTTTGTTTTCTAGATGTTGAACTTCAATCCATGTTGAAGGCTGCAGTCCTTGACCTTTTGTAGCAAGTGCTTCAGGTCCTCCTCAGTTTCAGCAAGCAGGGTTGTGTCATCCACATAACACAGGTTGTTGATTCTTCCACCAATCCTGATGCCACATTCCTCCTCATACAGCCCAGCGTCTGGGATGATCTGTTCTACATACAGATTGAAAAGGTGTGGAGACAAAATACATCCCTGACGGACCCCCTTCTTGATTTTGAAACATGTAGTGTCTCCTTGCTCTGTTCTGACAACTGCCTCTTGGTCCAAGTATAGGTTTCACATTAGCACAATCAAATGTTCTGGAATTCCCATTCTTCTCAGAGTCAGACACAGCTTTTTGTGATCCACACAGTCAAAAACCTTTGCATAGTCAATGAAGCACAGATAGACATTCCTCTGGTATTCTTCGCTTTCTGCCAAGATCCATCTAACAATAGCTATAATAAGACATTTCTAGCTAATTTTCTTGCTTGTTCTAACTAAAATAATACTGTTTCAAGCAAATAGTTATCCAAAAAATTCAAACTCTTTCAAGCTTTTAACAAAGCTGCCAAATTCTTGAGATATCAAAATCCAAAGAATACACTTATTATCAGGCTCTTAATTTAATAAGATCCTGAAGAATATAAATCAGGACAAAATATCACCACAAATTTAAGATGGGGATATATCAATTGCAGTAGCTTGTTATTTCTTTCTCAGTTTTGATTTGTAAGTATTCATTGTTGTTGGGGTTTTTAAAATTTTATTTTATTGATTTTAATGAACATTTACAGAGATTTTGGATTTCCATTCATTCATTGTTGCATTTTTCTCCTTGCCTACCCCTCCTCCCCCAGTTTGCTCTTCTCTTCAAAAAGTAAAAGAAAAATTCCTTCATTGGTATACAATCCCTGCCCCAAGTACATGCCACTATGCAACCTTCATTCCGGACTTTTGTCATACCATAATACCCAGTCATATATGTGCCGTTGAGTCTCCTGCA